TTACCTATTAATTGGTTATGCAATTGTTAGTTGCACATAGCTAAGACACTTGGTATCTACCGTACATACTATAGTAGAGCAGGGCATGCGGTGCAAATTGGTATCTCCTCAATTTAATAATAGAATAAATTGTATTAGGAAATGAGCCATATGCTTCAATATTAATGAGGAATAATTGCAGTATTGTCTATGCCAGATTTCATAGTTATAATTATAATTACGGAACTACTCATAACCCAGGTTCGAGATGAGTAAGATATTATTTTGATTTTATGTGTTCTTTGTTAGAGTAAACTCTTCCGACGTACGCGATGTAAGTATTGACTTATTGACTATACAAATTTCGTATTCTATCATTAAACTATATTATTAGAGGCAAAACAGTCATACAATTAGTGAGCTCACATGTTAATGGTAATACATCGACTATTTAAAGTTTCTCTATATTTAGTGTCACTAAATCTTACGTTAATATTTGAAATCACGTCTTGATTTCCATCGAAAATAAACATATGTCTATAAAGTAATCTTGAATCTATCCCTGCATCGCTTTAATGCCATATTCAACAAATTTAACAACGGTATTAATTTAGTATGATTAGCAGATAATCGTTAAACGCTATATAGAGGATAGAGCCAACATCTGAATCAAATGCAACTGGCCGTTAATACTAAACTGTTTTAAAATAAATTTGAAAATCAAATCATGTGATATTTAAATCAAAGGATTAAAATGTCAATATTGGACGACAATATTGACGATAATTTATCCATCCTGACTCTGCCATATTTTTATATTGATTTCCATCACATTCCCTTTAGAGGTCACTTCATGTGTTTAATCAATAACTACGGTATTTCTTATCGATTCTTGCCTAAAATGACATAGGATTGCTTCTATCCTTATATCAGAACAAAAGCGTGCAATATGTTGCCGTAGCAATGGAACCCTGAATAATTCATTATAGAAGAGTCGACTTGAAGTTCTTGGAAATAATTCTAGCGAGCAAAGCTATAAACATATGAGCAAACATTTCAGTCTGTTAATGTGCTTACAATTGCGATTTCGATACATATAGACTGCGCTTTGTAACCGTAAAAAGATAGATCATACGATAATCATCGCATTTCATAGCTTTCTACTAGGCAATTATATAAAAATACACCGCAATTAACAAAATTTTAATTCACCAGCAGCATTGGCAACCCATCATCTCATGGCATGGACACCATCTCAATCGAATTCTTTACTAGAAAAAATTTACGAAGTGAAAGTCTGATAACAGGGCTACTGTGCTAACTAGAATTAAATGTGGCATAATAATTTAGCGATGTAGCTAATACCGTATACATTAACAGCCATCCTAATCAGTGTAAATTTGAAAAAGGGAAATATTCTTGTTGTAGTAATATACATGTACTCTGCAGCACCCTTATGGCATAAGTAATATAGTCTTTTAAAATATGTGCTGATTTTAAACAGTGCAGAGAAGACAGCGAATATTTTGTCAAAGTTAAACTTAATGGTCATTCTCAAGCGTATAAGGCAAAATAACGAATGGGATTTACCCAAGTAGAAGGATTTAAGCGTAGATGATGCTGTATCTAACATCTCTATGCAAGCTTTATAACAAGATCTGATGAAATAAACAGTGAATTAATAAAACATAAAAGTTATATAATATGCTTATCATAATAATCAGTGACTATTTTATAAGTGATGACATCATTCTGTTTTGTTAGCTAGTAATAGCAGCATAATTGCTGATTCTTAAAATCATAAATGGTAGAACCCTTAAGACTTTTCTATTTCAATGATTTCACTATGGTTTAAATCATAGGGTAAAAAATTACATGCATGAAACAAAAAAGCCCTAGCACTACGGTGACACGGCCCTAACTCAATTTACAATATATATATAGTATATAAATTGTCTGGCTATGAACAATAGATTTTATCGGACATCATTTTAGTAATGATGGAAGAAGCGCCTTATTACACGTCGCTGATGGTAATAGGCAGTAAGAAATATCTCCTTTATTCATAACTCTATCTTTACCCCATTAAAAGCCATTGTATTACTTTTGTTTTGTGTACTATTTTTTGATCGCATTAGTACTGCATTGCTTTGTTATATAATAATATTGATTATAATCCGTTATTGGGTCTGAATTCAATCGGTACACTATTCATTAAAATAGTCTAATATTCTATTTATTTTCCATGAAGTGTCTTTTCACTGATACTATTAATAATAATTGCTCCAAGGAGAGCAATTTACGAATGTGTCGATGATTCATCATCGACTAAAAACTTCTGTATTGCTACTGTTGCTATACTAGAACATAATTTTAATAAGGGCAGATCGCTTTCAATTACTACAGTACATAATTCTTTACGTTTAATCACAGAGGGAAGTGATCAAAGAAAGTCGTATCGCTTAATTAGATTATAAATATCCCCCTTTGCCGTCTATAATAGTGAATCAGTGACTTGGGCACGATATATAATTTAATTTAATTTTTTTCACGAATGCAACTGTAACATGACTCAATTAGTCTGAACTTTAAAATGGCGGACTAATGGAAGACATAATCCAACTGCAATTTACGTCTCGGCATTATGATCTAAAAAGACATTTCAAAACAAATGAAGCTAATTGAAAATGGACTGGTCATTTTAACAATTTCATCAACCGCCATAACTAGAATATGAATGCGAGCTGTTATCTAGTTTAATCGCTCTAGTTAGTACTTATAATGCGACTATTTTAATCTACCGTTGTTTCCCACCAACATAGCTGACAGAGTAGAGAAAGCCCAAATTGTTAATGTGACTTCAATACTCTACTACCTTGCCGTATTAAGTGGATAACCGTTATTATTATAAACTTACCATTAAAGTAAGAGTAAAATTAATCATTAGTAATATCGTAGCACTACTTTGTCTACAATACTATAGACTGATTTTTGTGCAAACTTTCAAATTCTGTATTGAAATTTCTCATTAGCGAAACAAGAAAAGTTAGATTGAAAAAGTGCCTCTCCACTCTGTCTGAGTCAATTGATAATACTTTGTCTATTCAGTTCATTATTGTTTGATACCACTTTAATATCTTCTTTGGAATGTTTTCATCCACATGATAAATACTATTGATATTCATGAGCAGCTATCAATCAAATCACGTCGGAAAAGAATTACCTAGTTATCCTCAATCGACGCCATTGTTTCAATTAATACATTACTGTTTTATACAAATTGACTACATTCAACGCATTATCGTATTGTATACCCTAGTAATTTACGTTTTCTCATTAAATCTTCAAATTCTATGTAACTCCTTTACTTTACAAGGAAAACTCCATTTTCAATTAGTAAACCTATTAGTTCCTTATTTTACTGACAAGGAAGTCAAATAACTTCTGATCTATTCTACTATATTACCTGCATTGATGCGTGCATCTTCAATGTGGTCAAACTTATTTTATAGCGATCGTTCGAATTATCTGGACCAAAGCTAAAATTAAATAAATTTTATCACCACGATTTCGTAATAACCGTCTACTTTTCAACTCTCCTTCTTCCATATTAATACAATCATTTCTCTTATTGATTTTACCATGAATCGAACGAGTCATTAAGACGTGATATATTGTTGCCGTATTTGGAAATATTGCGAGTGATAAAAGCTAACATTTGGATTACTCATATCCATTTATATAAGTCAACTTGGGCCGAGCATTTATACCTGGTGACGCTGTTTAAACATTCTTGATATTTATTTTGCCCTTCACCATATGGACATTACGTCAAATTGTCCACGCTAGATGTCAAAGCGTCTTGGCGTTGTGCAATTTTCCAAGTAAAAATATAATATTTCTCCCTACTTAATGAAGCAATTACCGCGCCGAAAGGAAAGCGCTAGTCCTTAGAACGAAGAAATCGCGCAGGATCTATCGTTTACAATCAGAAATACAACGGTAGAATTTGTGGACAATCAGAAAAGGCAGAAAGAAAATTTTTTAAGAACACGTAAAACTTTTGTTCGTTTCTTAGGTAATTAATATTACTCGATTCACACGAAGTTGATCAGTTACAAAAATCTTTTACTTTCGTCATTTCATTGAGCAAATGATTCAATTTACTAATAATAACGATTATTAAGAATAATTTTGTGGGGTTGCGATTTTTCCTTGATAGAGTACTAAATATTTTTTGCTGTCTTGTATTTTTAGTAATTCAAGGTATGGCAATTAAATTATCGTCCATCACAATCTTGCTGTTTCACTTAGTGACAGCAGCAAGTGTTTTGCCAGTTGCTTGTGTTAATGCCCCCACTTTTACTATTCAACCACCCGATTACTCTGGAGTAAGAGCAATCTCATTAGCACACGATAGTGGCTTAACGCTGCCATGCAAGGCAACTGGGCCTGATACTATCACTTACTTTTGGAGACGCAATAATCAGGCTGTTCTGCTTGATCAGCGAGTTCAATTGCGTGAAGGCAACTTATCCTTTACTGGAGTCATTAAGGCTGATGAAAGCAATAGCTATCAGTGTTTTGCTACAAATCAATACGGAACTAGTGTTAGTCGCCTAGCCACATTACAAGTTCGCTTTACACCACTATCAGATTCGTCACAAGATAAATTTATTAAACCCAATGCAAGCGGCTATTTAGATTGTTTTATCCCTCCTAGCACAACACCAAGACCGGGGAATATCTTTTGGAGTGATCGAAAGTCGCAGCGTATCGAGGAAAATGCTCGAGTTGCAATCTCAATCGTTACGGGTAACTTATATTTTGTTTATGCGAAGTCGAATGACACTAAAGAATTACGTTGTTCAACAGAATTTCCTCTTTCAAGGCCCGATAGTAATACTATCTCTTCAACGACCGTCATTGGTTCTTGGCAGAGCGTAAATATTACTGGTCAATCAGTTTCATCTGAAGCAGTTAATATTACTGAAGGGCCAATCAATCAGCTAATCGACATTGGCGGCGATGTAATACTCCAGTGCATTGCTACGGGTTTTCCTATACCTACAATTCAGTGGCAAAAGGTAGGAGGCCCATTACCCTTTGGTAGATATCGATTCGATAAATGGGGAAGGCAGTTAACTATAACTAACCTTCGAAAGGAAGATGCCGGAAATTATTCATGTACAGCGATGAACGGTGGTACACCTATGACCAAAATGGCTCAATTAACCATTCATATCGATCCCTCATGGGAATTACGTATTACTGATACCGCTCAACCAGTATTATCAGATTTCATGTGGGCATGTCGTGCCGGTGGTAGTAATGTTCAATATAGATGGTACAAAAATGGGGCTGTCGTCCCAAATAGTGGTAAATATAATGTGTACAATAATGGTTCACTCTTAATTCGTTATTTGGAACAGAGCGATAAAGCTGTCTATTCATGCTTAGCATCCAATTCTCATAGCAACTTGGTAACATCAGGATGGCTTAATATTATTGAATCGCAGCCATATTTTATTGCAAGACCCCTTCCAGAGACAATTCTTTTTCAAGGTTCATCATCTGTTTTTCGATGCACTGTTGATGGAGGTCCTCGTCCCAAGATGACCTATCTGAAAGATAATGTCGCATTAAATCTCGCAACAACCAATAAATACACTGTACTCTTGAACGGTAATTTGGTTATCCGTAACGTTAACCAGAGTGATGCCGGAGTTTATCGCTGCATTGCCAGTAATACTCGTGGTAGTATCGATGCAAGTGGTACCGCTGTAGTAAGAGATAGTACAGTCTTTGTTACTTCACCAACTTCACGTTCATTCCGCCGTCCAAACCCATTCACTTTGCATTGTAATGCTACAAAAGATTCAACTTTGGATGCCACTATTTATTGGACTATTAACGGAGCTAATGTAACAAATCCTCGTGCAGTAATTCAAACTACTAACTTAAATAGCATACTTACTTTTGTGAACAGTACTTTAGCCGATAGCGGTAATTACGCGTGTAATATCGCTACATTAGTCCCAAGTGTTGGTTATGAACGTCGTACTAGAACGGCTGCTATTACTATCAACGACATACCAGATCCACCGTTCAATGTTTCATCGAGAAATAAAACTAAAAGTTCAATGTATATTTCTTGGCTGCCGGGTAATTCTAACAATAGCCCATTACAAAAGTTTATCATACGTTATCTAGTCAATTCAGTTAGCGTCTGGAGAGATGCTGATAATAATGTTCCTGTTTCTGCTACCTACCGCGGTATTCAGTTGTCACCTTGGAATACCTATCAAATCGTTGTAGCTGCTGTCAATGGTGTCGGTATAAGTCGAAATAGCCTTAGTATTAATCATGTTACGGATACAGATGTGCCGTATGAGGGTCTTGGTAGCGTTCGATTTTTTGGTATTGCCAATGAAAATACCGCAGTACAAATTGTTTGGGTTCTACTATCAAGACAACATCAAAACGGACCTGGTATAGGTTATCGATTATATTATAGAACCCAAGCTAGTATAACTGGATGGGTGTCCAGATCTTTAGGGAACACCGGCTCCTTTCGTTTATCAGCTCTATTGCCAAATACTAGATATGAATTTCAACTTGTTCCCTATAATGATGTTGGTGAAGGTAACATAAAGACACCAATCGCCTCGGTTTTCACTGGAATAGCACCACCTTCATCAGCTCCAACAAATTTAAAAGCTTACTTAATCAGTACTGATCGGGTCTTCGTAGTTTGGAATAAAATCACCTCTACACAGTCGACAGCCACAGGATATAGGGTAGGAGATATTGTGATCCCGCTTTAAAGTATAAAAATAATGTATTAATGCGGTTTGATATTAATCGGCGTAATATTACTATTTTATCTGACCGAGTATAAAACTCGGACTGCACCACTAATATTATAGTGTTTTACACACTGGCATCAGAATTGAAGATATTAGTTACAAAACTGTGATAACGATACTCTAGCGGACAGGATTGCAATAAATAGGCTGTAATTAGTAGTAGCTTTGCTATAGTCAGGCTTTTTTGATTACATTCGTATGATTAATTATTCACTTTAATTATCTGAAATTATAGGTTTCACATTGGATCTACGACAACTCTATTGCCTCAATAAACGTCTTTGGAGATGTTAGTCAAGTCACTATTAATAATTTGGAAAGATTTGCTAATTATACCTTCCGAGTTAATGCCTACGCTGAAGGTGGGGATGGACCTTATTCTGACATGGTTTGGAGCTACACAGGACAGCCTGTACCCGGTAAGCAACATATCAAGATTTTTATTATCAATATCATTATATTGTTACTGTAGGAAAATCAAGTATAATTCAATAAATGACATGTATAACTAACTTATCCGTATCAATTTGCTGCGCAGAGAGTGTAGGTAGTATTGCCGCAACGGAACCTATTAGAGGCCAAATTCGTTTAATTTGGACAACACCGAGTGTAACCAACGGGCCTATTGTCCACTATAAAGTGGATTACGCAATAGTAGATGTGGAAGGCAATGTCGTTAAAACAATTAGTAATCACACAATTGGCTCAGAAGTTACTTTCAACTATTATGATATGAATACTGGAATCTATCGTTTTACTGTAACGCCTCGAAATGCCAACGGATATGGTGTACCTCGCACTACGCAAATAAGCGTCCAAGGCAATGGGCCACAAGCACCAACTAACTTGCGATTGGTTGGAACAACAACAATAACAACAGCAACTATTGAATGGGATGTAGTAGAAGTACCATTAGATGGATTCATTGTACAGTATAGACTTTCAACTGCTACATCGCCACACGAAAATATCACTTTACTATTAAATCCATCTACTAGAAGAACCATCGTTACTCGCTTAACAGCAGACACAAGTTATGAGTTTCATGTTGTAGCAAGGAGTAGGAATGCTTATAGCTTGCCAAGCAATGCAATTCAAGCTAAAACTCAACCGGAGGTGGGGCAGCAAATTTTACCATTTTACCAGGAACCTTGGTTTATTGGCTTGGTTAGTGCGGTTGGCGGGTTAATAGTCATTTTAATAATTATCTTTTTGGTGAGATCAGCTTATAAGAAAAGGAGTCAGGGTGTACATAAAGGCCACTATCCGTTGCATCATCAAGAACATCGTATCAACATTCAGGATGAAGACAAACCGGAGATACCTCCGTTACCGGCCGAGGATATGGATGATATACCAATCAAAAGACCACCATTGCCCCACGACACAACATACACTTCTAATGATTTTAAGCAAGCTGATATTGATCGAGAAAGTTTAGATAGTATGGATGAATATGCTGATTTACCTGGCTTGTCCAAATTCAATGAAGATGGCTCATTCATTGGTGAATATGGGGATTCAAAATACGAAAGCAGATCACAATATAACAGCAGTAATCATTTAAATTCCTCATCGTTACCACGCCACAGCCGACCTGCTAGTCCAGCTAGCACCATAAATCCAAATAATTCCGCATTTTCCACATTCGTATAAGAAAGAGATAAAAAGCTATGCTTAGTGAGCGATTTTCTATTTCACTGATGATACAAATTTTAAAGTGAAATTATGGAACATATAAACAATGATATGTCCGCTTCACATGAATATTTAATATCATGCTCACTTCGATTAAAGGAATGCAGCAATTTTGTAATTTATCATTAACGATCGATAACAACGATTGTCTTAATTTATTGATTATATCAAGACATTTCGTTAGGGTTAATGATCGATGTTAATGTTTAAATGCACTATTTTGTGTAATACCACAACAAAACATTGAGTTAAGGCATTACGCATTCTTATAGAGGCTTTGTAAAATATTTCTTCATTTACTATAAAATAGTACATTACTCATGTTAATCTTATTTATGCTATACCGTATTACATAATCAAAAGGCAGACAGCAGAATATTATTCCTATGTGTATACTATTACATTACTAACTTTATATGACTTGCCAAATTAGGAGTAATACGAGAAGTATTACTTCCCCATTTTCTATGTTATTCACCAACTGCAACACTGTAGGCCATTTAGGCTAGCTATAAAGTTATCTACAGAAACTTTTTCCGGTAGGATTTACATATAAAAAAAGTAACTATTTACTTTGCAACGATTCCAAATAGTACAATTGCATTTTATAACCTTCGCTGATTTTGTGTATGAAAGCGGTTTTATCTATTACGATTTCATTATATAACTATTGATATTTAGCACATGCTACGTAATACATATTTATGAAAATGTCGCGCTCGCTAACGCATCAGTTACATAAATTTGCTAAGTATCGTATCTGTTATAATATATAACAAAGCAAAATATGGAATAATTTAAATTTATAATTATATCATTTTCTTACGTTAATGTTATTTGCGTGGGTACTAATAACTGATGTTAAAATATTCGATAGTTTTTGAAAGACCTAACAGTTTTTGCTCTGTGCTATAACAGTTATGAAAAATTCATAGGCTTTCACGAATTGCGTGTATTCGGATTTTAACAATAACTGTTTGAATATCATCAGTTTTAAAGTTTCCGTGTATAACATTATTCGCCCAAATTAAATCACACCACATTAATAATAAAGTAGTAACATTCACTCCTATGTTAGATACATTTTCGCTCCGGCTTACAACATATTGACATAGTTTTGATTTCATATAAAATTAGAATTGAATCAATTAGGTGTGAAGCGATTTCATATGCTGCGAAAACAAATTTTCCGTACTGAGCCTGCCTTGGTTACGAGAGCAATATAGCTACATCAGTTTGAACCCGAATGTTCGACTACGTAGTAAATCCATCAACGAATACACTTACATATCCCAAAAATAAGTGGATAGGGTAAGCTATTGCGACTACAATGATAATTTTCAAGCTCGATTCACTCAAATTAGCAGTTGACACTTGAAAGGAAAGTAATGTTTTAATAATATACTACAACGGACACGAGTGCAGAACCTGAGTCTTAAGTCGGACAATTTCAGATAATCTTTAAAGAAATTTGGTTCACAATCTATATTATATAACTAACGTGATATTCCGGGAAAAAATCTTCATTAATTTTGGTGGAGAAATTATCGTACTAAAGGCTACATGCTACTTAATTTAGGAAAACTAAGTAATGCGTAAACTGCAACTAGGTATAATATAAAATAACTTTACATGGCAATTCCTGTAAAATCATTTTTTATCCATTTAGATTCTTGTATTTAAACACTACGTTGATCAGGTCCAGCATACGTCTGGAATATGGAATACGTGCTACAAGGATATTTTCGTTACTTTCAATCATGTACTTAGACAATTATATGCTCACTATGTGATTGCTACCTATCAGTAAAAAATAAGTCGGATTTCATAGAACGGAGTTACCTTCCTGATACAGCCACTATTAACGAATATTTTAATACGGTATCAGAAAGCAATTCAATGGACAATTTTGTTAACAATAGCTTCATCACTATGTTGCAATAAATGTACAAGTGATCGATAGTTACTATAGAGGGAAAAATAAAAAATGCTGATCATCAACGGAGTCACCTTAAGTACTGTCAAAAATGTGCCCTCTTCTTTAATAGCGTATACACTTATATGTATATGCACCGTATATTTACATTGAATCTTTATGATAGCCTTAATACTGTATCGTAGTGCTCAAGGAAATATTTATGTTGTATTTATGTTCAATGACAGAAGTCTAGACCGTAGTGTCATACGACATCACAACTTGGTATTACGTGAAATGTATTACGTATGATTTGATGGTCATTGTGATTATTTAATATTTTCCGGTAATTAAATTAGCGTCTATTACATAGGTCTAAGAGTTAGTAATCTGAAATAAGGTTAATCTTGAGTAGATCGAGGCTGCCAACATGATGAAAGCCATCCTACAACAGTATCAAATAATAAAACCGTGAATGCGAGATCGATTAAATGACTATATTCAGTATGCGACGTAGTCAAAATCATCCCTACACGCTTATCTTATGTTACAAGCATGCAAGATAAAATTATAGCAGATAGGGTAGCATTGGTATGTGGATATATTATAGCAGTTATACATGGCGTACTGAAAAAATAACAAATTTGTCCCTAATAATACCCTTAATAAGAAATTTTTTAACAGAAATTTGTATCCAGCACAAGGCGTCTTCATTAACATAATATAATGCCTGCAAAGTAATTAGCTCTCAAAACAATAATGACGGAAAAGTCGTTTTAATAGTTATAATTATAATTATATTCATATTTTACGTACGCAATGATCATGCAAATAAACAATGTGTTCATTTGTACAATTCGGATTGAAACAACGAATTCCTTTTGCCTAGCGTGTTAGCTTACGAGCTTAAAACGAAAATTTGTAGAAATTACTTTCTTTACAAAGTCAATACACATGAGAATTGCATTATGTAAACTAAAGAATCCTTATGGCTGCTCAATCACCTGTCTCAAAAGTCTACCTTTGTGTCATCTCAATTTGTATCCTATCGTTTTCTATAAAACTACACATTCGTATGTACGGGTTTTAAGGTACTGTAGATAGCCACCTTAAGATCCCTAGTAACACGATGTTACAAACCTTTCGGTGGTATTAATTTTTCATACGTATTGCACTTCTGACAGTATTTGCATGCAAAAGCATAAATAGCAGGGAAATCTTTAGCCGCTATGCCTTCACTTATATCCGCTGTGTCATAAAAGATTTATAAGAAAGCAATTATTGGCTAAAACTACGGCTGATACTAATTTGATAGAGTGAGTTATATTAATAGAAAACAGCTTTGGCAATAATTAAGGTACATATAAAACTAAAGCCCAGCAGTATTATGTCTATAGTAGATTACTAAATTTAATATAAACATTCTATCATTGTCATATTGGCAATTACCAAAAGCATGACTATCCGATGTATAATTAAGTTAAGCATAAATTTTCGATGTTTACGCTAGTTAAATTGTAATTTAATTTAGATACATATGGAATGCAAGTACATAACCATAATCTATAGCGTGTACATGCGGGCAACTAAGTGATTTAAAACATGAATAAATTACTATAGTTTTGATATTAAACATTCATCGGATTGTACCTTGATACTAAGGTATGGACTTATTTTTGTGTTAATATCTCTTCAGTAGGTACTAAATATACCATACCATACATACAGCAGAACAATACCCTTTTTTTTTAAATCGGGGAACTGCAATTACGGGTCGCCGAGAAATAAGGAGAAAAAACTCAGGAACGTGTCTAGAAGTGGATTAAATTCAAATTGTGTTGCAATCATTCCTTGTGATCATGTAGTCAACATAACAAAAATTGACCAAATGCAAATTGCTATACATTCAGCATGCGGTAGCCTATCATTAAACTTGGTTAAGATAATGATATCTTAACTTCTATCTCGAGTGAAGTAATATTCCCATAAAGATACAAATATGCTTCGAGCAGTCTTGCACATTACTACGAAATATTCTGTAGAAGGCGCGTGTAACATATTGCATTTCAGAAATTTAACCGTCAAATTTTAATGCTACCCACCATAATATCGTCTACTCACAGCTAAAGTATGCAATAGTAAAATATTATCATACATTACAAGATACTGAGTGCATTAGGATTCGATTCCGGAAAAAAGTAAGTTAGAATAATTAATTAATGAACAGCGTTCGCATAAATTATGCACTACTCAGAAATTGAATTACTAAATCTTATCGATATCGTCACAATACTGAAGTTTTTGATTAAATTAGTATAGCTTGCTAAGTATTTTAGTCTTTATAGCATGCATGTTTACCGATGTTTACTCTTCCTTGGTGGCCACTTACCTGTAGGAAGGATGTACAAACCAACGGTATTCATTGGTCGAGAACTTTCAAGAAAAATGCTGGTCGGATCGAATAGAATGACGACACCATGCGGTTTTTGTTTTGCAGTATTGGTCCCTGTGATGGAAAATTTATTTATGTAGCAGAGTACACAGGTCAATGCGAATGATGCGTTAACACATTGATCGCTGTAGCAAGGTATTGCTTCAAACTGTCGTCCTTTTTTAGCTTTTCGGAGAAAGTGAATATCTTACTCTACATCTTAACAATAATACAAATACTTACCGTTGCCTTCGATACAAATCCTGAATAAGTCGTGGACATTTCCTATTGGTGACTAACCTGTAAAAAATGATCGTATTTGAAGCTACAATATGATGATATGAAATCTATTTAGATGCTTGTTGAAAATTTAATCTGAAATTTTTCAATATTTTACAAGATCATTCAGATTTTTTCTTAGCCGCCTTCACTATTTTACTTGTTTCCTTGCCAATATTCCCATCATCTTAACATTTCGCCCTGTATGACGTTATTATATTATTGGTAAAGGCACGGTGGTAGACATTTTATCATACTGTTTAGCAAGTAAGTTAATTTTTTAAAAACTCCGACTATGTACGTATTTGTATAATCGCTAAAATATTGCACACTAAAGGTTACAAATTCATGAGATAAATGTAGTTCCACTAAGAGAATATCAAATCCTCGTCGATAAAATGATGACTTTATGATTAATCATAAACTACTTAAAGTAGAGATTTAGAATATTTGTTGCGAACAGTAGCCTAGCGATAAGTAGAAAGGTCGTAATTTTTACAAGTCAGCATTAACCTGGTGCGAACTTAGAGCGACCTATTTACCTAAAGATTGATAATAATTTTATGTAACTTTTTTCTATCCTTGCTCCAACCAGTATTAAATATTGAGTCTTCTTCCTAGGGTTTGTACTTTTGGCTTAAGTTACGATAAGTAAATCGATTGGCTAGAAGAAAATATCTCGAAAACTTTTGGGCCCTGAATAATTGAGAAAATGATGAAGGCGATAGTTGCATCTACAACATTACTATATTTTTCAACTTATTTTATTTTAATTGTTAGTGACCGTGCTCATCTTCATCAAGGGGGAATTCAACTACCAGAATTCGAATTACAGCCAATGGATTATGTCGATCGTAGAGCTGCTGTGATCGGATTACCTCTCTACTTAAAATGTCGCGCTAGAAGTTATGACTTAATCAGCTACAGATGGAGACATAATGGTTTCGAAATAACGTCCAGTAGTCGAATAAAATTAATAGATGGTAGCTTAACAATACTAGCAGCCACGAGAAGAGATCATGGTCAATATCAGTGTTTTGCTACTAATCAATGGGGGACTAGCGTTAGTCGGTTGGCTACTGTCGATGTGGGCAACAGGGTACCCATTCCTCATAATCTCCCTGATACCATCCGAAGGTTAGGGTCCGGTGTCATGCTGAACTGCAATTTACCATCAACTAAAATTATACCGCCAATTGTCAATATTACATGGGTACGTCAGTCTGAGGTAACTAATCAAGGCAAACAGCAACAACATCCAGTGATAGTAAATGAGCGAATTTTTATATCCAAATCTAATGGCAATTTATATTTTAGTTTTACTGAATCAAAAGACGCTGGAGTTTATCGTTGTATCGTCACACAAACATTTTACCTTGTATCTAATGACAGCTTTGTTAATATCAACGTTTACGGGCAGTGGCAACGACTGAATTTCACGCAACAACCGTCTCTACTACGAGTACCAACTGCCATCGTTAAATCTTTACATGATTCTACCGTCTTAGCTGGCAGTAATATCAAGTTAGAATGTATGGCTTATGGTAAGCCATTGCCAAAGATCATGTGGTTATATAATGATCAAATTTTGACTACACATCCTGCGATTGCGATACAAAATCATTTGCGAGAATTGGTAATAAAAGATATACAACCGAATCTTCGTGGTACATACTCCTGCTATGCTTTTTCAATTGATAGTCATAATTTCTCAGAATGTGATATTAACGTTATTCGACAGCCAAAATGGAAGATACCACTCAAAAATGCTGAAGCATGCTTTACTCACAACGTTACATTTCAGTGCGTTGCTGACGGCGATAATATTATTTACTTGTGGTACCATAATGCGCAGCGCATCCATAATGGTAGCAAATATACCATTACAAATAACGGTAATCTAACCGTCCACAACGCTATTATCGAAGATGCAAATATGTATACTTGTATAGCTATGAATAGTATTGGCAATATTGTAAGTAATGCCTACCTGAATGTCCACGGTTGTCCACCAACTCTAATTAAGGTACCCAGTGAAGAAGTTATAGCGTTAATTGGAGATTCCGTTTCCATCGATTGTGTAGCTGAAGGAATTCCAGAAGCCAGAGCGCAATTAATTAAAAATAATCGCTACGTAAATATAGATGTCAATGATCATATAACATATGTCAAAGGATTTGGATTTACTATTCATTCATTAAAAACCACTGATGAAGGATTATATAAATGCGCTGCTAGTAATGTTTATGGTAAGACCCAAAGTCGAGGTGTCATGATTAATGTGTGCCGAGAAACTACCGCCAACGTAGTACCACCAGTAATTCAGGCTCCGATCGGTAGTACGATTACTTTAACATGTTTAATAAATAAAGATCGTCGTTTGGCTACAAGTGTTCATTGGTATAAAAATAACGATAGGGAAGAATTACAAAATAGTGGAGCAGTCCAAATTTCGGCTTATAAAGAAACTAGCAGCAAGTTAGTCATTCAAGAAGCATCCATCAATGACAGCAATACTTATAATTGTGTGGTTATTTCATTTGTACCAACTGGCAGTACACGCAAATTTGCTAAAGCTGATGGGAAAGTTATTATCCAAGGACCACCATTACCACCAGTTGAAACGCAATATAACTTAATAGGTAATAAGAAATCAGTCATGATAACATGGCGCCCTGGCAGGGCGAACAATAGCCCGCTGCTATATTATAAGTTATTGGTTGCTACTAATTCACATCATTATCACTTACTGAAAGATAATATTCCCGTTTGGCAAGCATCAGCTATGGTTGCAGTTTATCCCTTCAATATTTACCGCGTTGCAGTTATCGCAGTCAATAAACTAGGCTCTAGTAGACCTGCATATCTGTATATTAATAATACGTACTTTGAAGCGCCAGGCTATCCTCCATTAAGTGTGAGAGCAAGATATGCTCAAGAAATAAATGGAATTGAGGTATGGTGGAAATCAGTTCCTAGATTGTTTCACTTCGCACCGGGTTTCGGCTATCGCATTATATTAAGTGAAAGAAGTGCATTCGGAGGTTTATTTCAACGGCGAAATATTTCCTTGCCAGATTTCAGTATTAACCATACTATCGTAACTGGATTACAACCAGACAAGCACTATGTTATACGCGTCTTCTCCTACAACAATGTTGGTATAACTGTCGACCCTCATCAAAATCTCACAGTTCGTTTCGGAAACCAGCCACCTCATGGAATAGTTAAAAATGTATCGGTTTATGTTATCTCTTACAGTGCTGTCGTTTTAACTTGGTCTTTTTTTTCTGAAAGTAATCACAGTCAAACATTAAGTAACAGCGTTATTGGTTACAGAGTAAGTAAAACTATGATGCATTGCGATCTGACCATTATAACAATTATGTAAGCCTCCTACTGTAAAATATTAGCCAATACTGTATCTTAATGCCAGTCTCAGTCAATCTAAGAAATACTGAGTTATCAATTTATGTGATCACACTTTGACGGTAAGATTATCACTGTTACCTAAGAAATAGAAGTAGATTAAATTACGACGGAAATTAGATTGTAACTCTGTTCTATATTACTTTTTCGTCGCAAACATAGGTGGAATTAATAGATCACGATGACGCTATAAACAGGACAACTAAAACTCTGTATCATCGGAGCACTATATTATTGGAAAACTTAGATGCTGGTAAGAGTTATAATTACCAAATTAATGCATTCAATGAAGGTGGCGATAGCAAAACATATTTGCAATCTTCTCTGATTCTTTCCGATCCTGTTCCAGGTAAAATAATCATAGTTACACAATAATTACCGATCTTGTATCAAACATACTTGATTATAGTTTTATTTTAATTAAAACAAGCAATTTATCATTCAATGTGCTGCCTTTAGGGCCAGTCCAACAATTACAAGCGAAAGAGATCAATATTGGTACAATTCAACTTACTTGGCAACCTCCAATTGTCGTAGACAGCTTCGTTACCAGTTATACTATATCGTATGGATTAGCAGTACATCGTACCGATGAATGGCAAATACACATTCATGATGGTAACTTAACCTCTCTATTGCTATCAAGACCTTTCATTGATGGTAAATACAGATTTACAGTTGCAGCAAGTAACAAAAACGGTGGGGGTGTACCAATTTCGGTCATAGCTGTGACTCGATCAATCATTCCTTCCTCGCCATTTAACCTAGAAGTTGTTAATATATCACAACATACAGCACTAATAGCGTGGCAGGTACAGGAATCTGATGTAATGGGGTTTATTCTAGAATATAAAGAATCCATTTCATCTAAATTTGATATTTACGACGATAACATTCCGGCTAAAAGTCGCCAGATCGAATTAACCAATTTATCGTCCAATACTCTTTACGATGTACAATTAATAACTAAAGGCCCCAAAGCGAACAGTAAAGCCAGTAGTACTCTATCCATTCAAACGACATCCATAAAAGTGACAAAGGCTTCCATCCAATTTTATAACCAGCCCTGGTTTATTGTTGTGGTCACTTGCGTATGTTCTCTGATCATTCTTATTATCGCCATCGCTGTCATGAATTACAAACAACGACAGACCACTACCAATGAATCAAGAAATTCCAAGGATAAAACACAAGATTCAGCTGGTTATACGATCACAATTAAGAGGAACGAATCAAGTACTAAGGCAAAGTTAACCAACGTAGCCATGAAAAATGTCAACAAGATGGAAAATTCTGTATTTTACACATGCTCAGGCAATACTGCTATAGTTTATTGTTCCGATAGTTTGGAAAAAGAAAAAAATAATAATAATAATAATAACAATAAAAACAATAACTGCTTTAACGATAGCGATATAGAAAGCAAACGTTATAACATTAACATCGCGTAAGTCTTAATTTATATTTTAAGGTTCGATGGTAAAAGGTTAATGACTGCAGTGTACTTATTTGTTGATGAATGCTTTATATTTTTATTTCTCTTCGTTAACATTGTACAATTGTAATATGATAGTCAAGATCGCACAGTAAGATTTGATAGTTCCAGAAATACTTATCAGTGTATTCAGGGCTATAATTTATGGGTACAACTCTTATCTATTTGCAGGCAGTTCAGTTTAAATCAGCAAACTGTAAGCTTGCGTGCGTACTAACATATGAGTCAATACTTGCGTAGTTCATGGATATAAATGTCGTTAATCAACATTTAAGATAACAAGCACTACTAATCTGCATTTGTAGATCCAATCTGACTGTTGTAGTTGAATAAATTAAATTCTATTCTGGCTTAGTTATACCATATACCAAAGTTCGCTAACGTTTATCAATCATAAAGTATTGTACTCAATTTTTACTAGCAAATTTAAACAACTACTATTTGATACTAGAATGAAAAGCCTAAATTAGGAGTTATTTTAAGCTATACTACTGTAGAACACATTGGTTCAGAAGTAAACATAATCAAAGTGCTGTAATTGTGCCTTGTCTTTTCATAAGTTACGGATGCATAGCCATTTGAAGACATGGCATGCACTATAAGCTTTATATCTCACTGTAAAATCTTAAAGTATCCAGTTTTTCGTAGATTGCACTGATAAGTCATTAATTCAAGTTATCACGTTTTAAATCGATGATTTCCTAGTTACGGCTGCGAAATCAATGAAATGAATGGTGTTCAACTGTGGATTATAACCATTCCGTTAAGTCAATATACGTCATGATCTAAATAGTCATATCTGATTAGTTAATTATGATTATCCAACCAATAAAATGAACCATCTTAATGTAATTGCAATGTGATCAGTATTGTTGATTCAAGGTAATCGTTGGATTCTTTAACTGAAGCGAATGGTTTATTCAGTAGAAATAAGCGCGATAATCACCGGAAATATCCAATTCCATTTCTAGGTCGAATTGACTTGAAGGTGATATCTTAATAATAGAGTAGTGATCAGCAAGTTAACTGATTACTGACCCAGTTCGTAATAAAATGACACACGTCGCCTGCATTAAAATTCTAATTTAACCGTAGTCATCATTCATTTCAAGTAAATAATGCAACAAGGTCGTAGATTAGGGTTAGGATAATCTCCATCCAAACCTTTCTTCATTTTTTGTCTTGTTGTGTTACTGATTATGCTATCACTTTGACTACGATGGAACGTTCTTACTAACATGGGGTGCAATGAGATTTTTACACTAATTTGATGTCACTAGATTTGCAACTATATACAATATTACGGGAGAAATCTTATGATATTGCGATGAATGTTGCTTTCTACGAAGAATTTTTAAGTCATGTACTATACAACCGCCAATCGCTAAAATGCTACAGCGAAAGGGATGTTATTACTCTTATGTACGTATTGTTCCTTCATTAGCAGTTACTGTCTGATTATACAGGTATGAATTTCTACTTACTTAACCTTAAGCCATGGTACTGTACCTTGTCCTCTTTTCCTACTGAAACATAACGATTTCGTAATGTGGTCTCAATGGTGCGTTGTATGTGCATTCCTAATTCTTGTATAGATAGACACTTTAATTTCAACCGCGAAAAAAAATGGTTGCGTTGTCACTTCTTTTTTCATAAACCTTCCTAGCAAAAATATTAGTACAAATTAAATGAAACTGTAAAACGATAACTTTATGCCCACTCCAATATAAGAAGTCTGTATTTACTTGCGTATGCATACCTATTTTGCTGATGATGCTATATCATTACGTGACTAGTCATGATCCTTGCTTTATCACGCCAAAGCAAGAACAAGTGAAAGGAGTTGCTTCCTGAAATACTGCATGCAATCGTTCCTTTGAATTAAGTGCTGTCATTCGTGCAAAACAGCATTTTATTGACTGCTATCAATCTACGATTGAGCGAAATCGATACTCATGACGATATATATAATCTACAGTAATTAGCTCTTTTCCGGTCCAGTCCGCATAGTAGCATAGTAGCAAATTGATTAGCTTGAAAAATTTCCCACTGTTAATGCCTGTGAAATATCCAAT